TATATATATATATATATGTTGTTCCTTCTTCTCTTTACCTAACACTTCCTTTTTCTACCTTTATTTTCTTTTTACTCACTGCATTGAATTGTTAACGGTCTTCTCTACTCTCTACTCTTATCCACTTTTTACAAATGTTCTTTTTTTTCTTTCTCTTTTTTTCGCTTTTTCTATTTTCTATTTCATCCGAACTAACGTAAAAGAATTAGAGACATTTTTTTTTCTCAAACAAAAATATGATTTTTCTATCTATGAATTTTGTATTTATTAAATTGGCCATTATTTATTTATAACTTACTTATGAATGACAATAAAGTTTAGCTAAAATAATTTTTCAAAATTATTACCAGTCTCTTGTGACGTTTGACTGTATAGACCTGCGACCATTATTTTAATTGGTTAATTGGCATTAAGAACTCGAAAGTTCATTGCTGTAAATAGTAAATTGAAAAAAAAAATAATTCAAATATTATCGTTAAATTTGATCGAATTTTATTAACCATGAGTTTATCGATAAGAAAGATAAATATAAAACTGTTTTAGAATAAAACTCTCGTGAAAAGAAACAGAAGGCAATGTATATCTAAACTGAAACGTCAATGTTATTTTCTTTGACATTTTGGAAAAGATATTTTTCTCTTCTTTTTTTCTTTTAAGAGTCGCATCTGCATCTTCTTATAATAATCGACTACATTTACCAGCTGCTGCTGATGTTGCTGCTGCTGTATCCCCATCATCCGTTTTTCTTTTCTCTCATCTCGAACATTGTCATTGTAACAAAAAAAAAAAAAAAAATGGATGAAAACCAGACAATATACAAAAATCTCTGCTCTTAACCCTTGAATCTGAGAAAATCCTGTTGGCGAATAATAAAACCGAATGATCAATAATACTCCCCAACATTTTACCCCATATGTTTTTCAATAGAAAGGGTTGCATAGAAATAAAATTGAAAATAGTGAAAAAGTATGTTTGCTCGTTGAACTAAAATTGCAAATTGTGGTTTAAACAACAAATTAATTTAGACAAATTATTTTCAACAAATAATTATTGTTAGGGTTAACCAAAAGTTCGTGATTGTTTTTTTAAATCAAATATCCTTTACTTTGAAATGATATAACAAATTGTTTTCTTTTTTTTTTTTTTTATGTAAATCTTATATTACGGAAATATTAATTGAAAAATGCACGAACTATTCTGCATAAAAAAAAGGTTCGTACAATAAATATATCATTTATCGTTAAGGAAGTTTATAGAAAAAAGAAAGGAAGAAGATGTGCAAACAGCGCGTGTCTCTTTGAGAACAGATGATGACCAACCAACCCAACGAATCAACTAACCCACACATAAACACACAT